TGTTTATTTAGGCTTTTAAAACAAAGATTTCTTTTAGTAACAAATATTTTTGTATTGTCGTCGTTAGATGAAACTCCGTGCGCAATATGATATAGAGGAAAATGATCAGAGAAATTTGTAATAAAAATACCTGATTCAAAATAAGTATCTAAAATATTATGTATTGATTGCGGACGAAGTAGTTTTTGTAATACGCGTAGGCTTAAAAATGTTAGGTATAATGTTAAATTCAAGTAATAAATTTAAAAAGTTTTTTGAATTCACAAATTTTTTATAACACATTGCATCCAAGTTTAAATCACCAGCAAAAAAATATGCTTATTCCCAGTGGGCACGGACGTAAAATAGACATCTTTTAAACGTCTTATACACGTTTTGGACGTCTTTTAAACGTTCAAAAGACGTCTTTTTTAGTCCGGTGCCCACTGGGTTCCGAATACTCATTTGCGAAATAATTGTAAATGCTCTCTTTCGCGCTACTTTTTTTTCGTTGTCAACAATAAAAATGGCAGCCATAAGTTTACTTTGTATGTTTAACTAAAAGCAGTTATTTGTTTTTAGCATACTTTCTACTTTGAAGCATGTAAAATTTCCTACGTTAAATTAATATTAACATTTCTGTCTTTATATGTAAGATGTAATATCATTTTGTAATATAATCATTTAATATAAGGTTTTTTTTTACAAGAAAGTATAAGAAAATAAATGCTAAACTTTGATATAAACAGCAGGTTTAAGGTGGTATACCCCCTTCAAAATTATCTTGGAAGTGAAATATTATAGTCAAAATAAAAATTAAGCCTATGAAAGATCTTATTAAACGAAATTGATTTATAAAATAACAGGTGGTTATGTTGTCATGACAACCACCTATAATGGCGGATATAAGAAAATATGCGCATCGCACTGTCAAAAATATCTCAAAATCTAATAGAGTAGTCAAAGTTAAACCTTGGCCCAATTATAAAAAACAGTTTGATCTATGCAATCTGCCAAAAGTTTTTAAATCTGACTATTAGTCTCCATGTAGCACTACATGGATTATGAAGATTTTTAAATAAGCAATTTTTTAGTGCTGAAACAACAATACCTCAAACTCTGAAATGTTTTATAATTAATTTTTGGCAGATTGCATACATCATATAAAAACACATCGCTGCTGAAAATTTGGTTAAAAACTGATTACTAGAAAATAAAATAACTGTGACGGGAGATTGAAAAATAGAAGTTAGCAAATAAAGACTTTAAAAATTAAAAAAGAGAAAAATATCAAAAAAAAATATTATAAAAATAAACGATGTTTGTAAATTTTAGAGCAAATTGTTTAAAAGCTACTAGCAGCATAAAGAATGCCTTGTTTTTGCTTTTCCCTATCATTTTTGTTCTTTGTATTGCCCCTGATTGTTTTTCTCCGCAACATTACACCAGATTTATTTTTGTATGACGATTGATACAAACGCATTTTATTTTCTCTATTGCAGCCATCTATCGTAAATGTTCCTAGAATCATATTGAGATTTTCATGTCATCACTGATGCTTTTCTTCCAATATTAAAGTTTGCAAAGCATTATATGTTGCAAATTTCAAATGTAACAATGAACAGAATTTAGTTTTTGGAACTCGTTCCCATATCATCATGTTAAGGCTTTCATTTTGGTTCTGAGTTTTTCCATGCATACATTTTGCAAGCAATTCATCAGAGCTAAGTTCTTTATAAATTGGCTTTAGCAACTCAATAATATCACGTGGCAAACCAGGGCCAGGTTTATAGAGAGATGGTTGATTGGGATGTTTTCGATCAACATTGTGCTGGCACCAACTTTTTTCATCGTTTGGACAATAGATGTGATAGTTATTTTCTTTTGAGGAAGCAACATGAAACAATGAAGCAAGTATTGCACTGCGCATTTCATTAACAGACTGATTTTTGGTTCTAACTGCAATCCCATAATAGTTTTGCAATCTGTCAATTGTAGCATCAGTAAGTCTTCCTTTACCACCTAGACGCCTTTCTTTTTTCAATTTTCTTAATCGTGTGCCAACTCTTTTTTGCACATGACCAACACATTCTAATTTTGAAACTAGTGTATCACCATATACTCTTTCAACAGATGAAAATGCCTTACTATCTCCGTCACCACAAAATTCAGTATAGCGAAGTTTATACTTTTCAATAGATCGTTCAAAAATTGATTTTGCTCCAGCAACCTCCATACCGGTGGATGGGCCAGTATAGTTGAGGTTACAAAAATGAGTATTTTTTAGGATTTTATATGCATCAGGGTCTGTATCTTTTTTCTTTGTAATTAAAAAACATTGTTTGCAATATTTGGATAATACTTCACAATCCAAAACTTTTCCTGTAATCATAGATATTGCAATATAAACAACGTTGTATGAGGAAAAACCTCGACGTTGCCAAGTACCGTCACAAGAAACACTGGTATTTAAATTTAAATTAAATTGGATTCATCAGTAGTATGTTGGGAGGCTTTTATAATTTCAAGTGCAGCATCAGACATGGTTTCTACTGCGATTGCTTCAACTTCAATAGCAATTTTTTATGTAAATTTTATGTAAAAATGTAAGTATTTTTAGTCATTGGCGGTGGAAGATCCATAAGATAACAGATTCTAAGACTAGTTGTATACTATCTATTTTATTTATACTATAATTGCACATTAAATTCTGCCAATGTGAATAACTTTACATTTGTTGATGTTCAAGTTGATTAACCAGTCTTAACACCACTTTAAAACATTATTAATATCGCTTTGTAATAATAAACATAGTGTCAAATTGTTTACTTTAGCTATTATTTTTGAATCATCAGCATAAAATATTGAGTTATTTAAGATGATTTTATTTAAATCATTCATGAAAATGATTAACAAAAAGGCCCGAGCACAAGAACTCGTAAGAACTCGTTGTTCATAAGAACTCGTTGTTTTCGTGAATATAAAAAATCTGCAATCCAATTCAATAATTTGCTTTTTATACCATAAGCTGATAATTTTAACAATAACCTCTGATGTGGTACTGAATCGAAGGCCTTAGCGAAATCTAAAAAAATATAATCCACAGACGAATTTTGGGATAAATAGTATGTTATCAAGTCCATATATTCTACTAAATTGGTGACACATGATTTATGATTCAAAAAACCATGTTGATTCTGATTCAATAACTTTTCACCATCTAAAAAGTTAAGTATGCAGTCTTTTATAATGGATTCCATGGCCTTACATACAATAGAGGTTAATTCAATTCAATTCATATATATTCTGAAATAGTTGTTACATTCACGAAAGTTTACAAATAGTACATGTATTAATCTTAAGTAAAAACCTTGTAAATAAAAGCTAATAAATATATTGATTAATGCAAATAGTAATATTAATCATCCACAGCAGTAACAAAACGAACATTAAAAGTTGAAGAAGTAAAAATACTAATAAAGATAATAATAAAAGTTGTAGTTGTAACAGTAATAACAATACAATGATAAAAGTACAGTGATTATAATAAAAATAAAATGACAGAAATAAAAATAATTACAATAATCATAAAAAAAAAATACTAGTAATTTAGTATTAGCCACATAAATACACATAATACAGACACATACAAATATCCACATAGAAACACACATACAAACTTACGTTCACAAATACATATAAACACATAAAGAGTAATAATAAATTTTTTTTATTTAATTTCCAAAAAAATATTAAATTAAACCCAAAAATTTTAAAACTTTTAATTGTTTTTTGAGTTAATGGCCCAATGTACGTCTACAATTAATCCTATTTTTTTTCTAAAATTTGATTGTATTTCTAGTTTTTTTTGTTTGACAATTAATTTTTCATTTTCTGATCTCGCTTGCCATTTTTTAATAGGTAATTTATAAGATAGATGCAATAAATTTTCAAATATTCGGATCCTCGCATGCAAAATTGATAACCCAAACTTCAGTGTATCTGGTTTGACATCTTTTTCAGTAGTCAAGTTATTAAAATCTTTTGATGTTGCATCACAAATATATCATCTTATAGTTGAAGCTGTTTTAGTGGCTGCGTTACACACCTTAGCATCAACCATAGTGAGCATCATATTATGTTTAACTGAAAATAAATTTCTACCCACTGTCAATTTTGTATCATGCAAAGAGATAATTGAATTTTCAATAAGTTTTATCTCTTCATTTGTTATATCATTAGATTCTTTGACAAATCTAATTCTTATAGGGCGACAATAACGTGGCGAAGAAGGAGTTGGATTTTGCCAGATCAATTGGTTGTTTTTAGTACAAGTTAATTGAAGCGGTACAAAAGAACTCTAAAATGTACTTGCATCAGAATCGGCGTCATTCAGAAATTTTTGTTTATATTGATTTTGCTGTGATCCGTCACAGCCCCATTTACAATTTAATATTAATGAACTTTTTTCTTTTTTGTTAAAATTTTGTACCACTTCTTCTAAATACATGACCAATCGTGTAACGGTATGGTCCAATAAATCTTGTAAATTGACTGCGACACAAGTTTCAGTGACAAAATAAGATTCCTTATTTGGATAACAATCTACTTTTGCCTTTTGCAGGATACTATAGCAAGGATATAATGTTTTACAAGAACTTCTTACAATTTCATATTGTCTTCTGGAAAGACCAGCTTCTACAAACATTGCCAGTGCACTTAATACCGATAGCTGTGATTTTTGCTATCTTATACATTTTTGCCCGCTTTGGGAGTGGATAATGTCCTTTAAAATTTTTGAAGCAGTTCTGTTTTCAGTAACACCTAATTCCACCTGAGCAGCACAAGTTAATGTTTCTGAACTTGTGGTAGTACGTATGTTTTCTGTTTTCCTTCTTTTGCTTCTCTCGCTTAATTCTTTAAAATTCTTTGTTGGCCTACCCCCTGGATGCAGTACTGCAGGTATTGCAATGTTTCCATCTAGCCAATCACTGTTTTTTTTAAAAAACAAGTTTTTATCCCTCTTTGCTATTGACCATCTTTGTTTTAACTCGTAACTAAATTGCGATAAACTATGTTTTACTTCTTTTATTTGTTCGTCTTAGTAATTATCTTTTGCTAATACGTAATGTTCTAAAAATAATAATTTCTCATTCATGTTTGATAAAATTTGGCTCTGCAATAGATCAAAAAACATTCTTTGGGTTGTTTCCCTGACATCTGACGAACCTATTATAAACACCGTTTAAAATTAAAATATACCTGAACATAAAGTTTAGTGTTTTTTTTTTTATTAAATAAATTATTTTATAGTTTCGATAAAATATATAATACTAATCGTAAACCTTTATTTAAAAAAAGTTAACCATTTACTTTCTTTAAAGTACACAGAAAAAAAGAGAAAAAAAAAGAGAAAAAAACATTTATAGAAAAACAATAACCCCCCTGGTCTTTTCCTATCTTACACTTAAGAACAGGAAGAGTGAATAAACAAATACGGAGAACAAAATGGCAAAAAATGACAGGTGATTTTTACATATCATTGAAGTCAAACCCTTAACCTACCTGTTAATAAAAAAACAGTAACCTGGAAATGCTTGGAAGTATTATAGTTTGCAGTGAAAATTGCAAAAAACAAGAGAAAGAAAAGAGTTTTTACAAAACCAACAAACTTATATATAATCACAAATAAACTGATTTAAACTTTCCAAATGTATTTACCTTTACCAACTTCATTAGAATTCATCACAAAACACTTTGAAATATATTTTGATTAAACTTTATTTGATGCTAATAAATGCTTAAAAAATAAGCAACCAAAAGAAAACGCGTAGACAATAATTAATAATCAACTTTGTATATATCCTACCGCTTTTTGTTAAAACCATTTCCGGTTACTTAACGTTTTTAATATTCACTAACTAATCAATATTGGTAAAATAACTTTTTTAATTTATTTTGGAAGTTCTGAAAAATATAGTTTTGGCCGCCTAAATCAATCAAATACCCCACTGTGCTGTGCTGGAGTCGAAATGAATCCGACTTTTTTTTCGCTGCAGCGAAAAAAAAGTCGGATTCATTTCGACTTTTTGCGAATCGCCATAAGCGAAAACCAATAAAGTTTTGAATATTATATCACGTGATGTCAACATTAAAAAAAAAAGCGAAAACATTTTGTTTTTAAAGTAACAAAAAACAAAATTCTTAACCCGGCGTTCTTACTATCCTACATTTGTAGGTACATAGGTGGTACTACCCTACATTTTTTATTTTTCAAAATATGGTACTTTTCTTAAAATGATAAACATTTTTCGATAGTTGTTAAAAAACTGAATTTGAAACTGAAAATGTTTTAGTTTTAATAATTTTTGGTATCATCGGAAAAGCTTTATCATAGTGTTTTTTTGAATATTCGAAGAAAACTGATATAAACAAATCTGCGGTTTGACTTTGTAAAATTTTGTCCCAGTTTTCAGAAAATAGAGAATTATTATTATAAAGTTCCATAAAAATGTCATTATATATTCGATATGTAATAATTATTATTTTGTGAGTGGTGTGTTCGACACCTTTACGTGCGATTATAAATATTGGGAAATAATCTGATATATCGAATATTATTCCAGTTTTTATTTTGTTTTTTGTATATTCATTAAATATTATTTGATCAATTGAGGTTGCTCTATTCATAGTAATTCGTGTTGGTATATATAGTGTTTGAATGAATCCATTTTAAAATATGATGTTCATAAAACTTTTAACATTTTTATTTGTGTCGCAATAAGGTACATTATAATTAAAATCCCCCACCAAAAAGACAAGTTTGCCACAATTTCGCTTTTAATTAAATTTTTTAAAGTGTTTTTCAAAAAATTTGTTATTGCCAAATGGCGGTTTGTACGCAACATGTACAATGACGTTTTTAGTGATTTTATTCATAACTTCGATCGTTAATGATTCATAATCGTTACTAGTTACGCTAAATTCAATTTAAGATTTAAAGAGTTGTGGATAAAAATACATACTCTTCCACCTACTGTCTCAGAATTTCTGACTTGATGAGTAACTTTATAGTTTGGTAGTTGAAAAGTTGAATCTCTTTTAACTTGTTTATGTCGACACATGATCTCTGCGAGACAAATAATTTTAAAATTAATTTTAACACTAAATAAAAAGTCTTTAAATTTATTAACACTTTTTTGAAACCTCTAGAAATTTAGGTGTAAAAAAAAGAATGCATTAATATCTATATCAGCAGTAAGATTAGTAATATCAGAATAATAATTAGAAGGGCATATGTTGCTAATTATTTCATCAGGTTTAAAAAAATTAATATCTGGATCTGAATGATTCTCCAAAAGTATATTTTTGTTTGTTTGGAAAGCTATTCCAAACAAACAAAAAATTCAATTATCTCTTTGCATGAAACTTAATTCGCGAAAATTCGTATCTTCCATAACAACAAGAAAGGTTATACTAACAAAATATTTAAAGTATAAAATAATTAAAGATTTGTAGGTAATTTCCTGAATTCTTTTACTATTATTTTATCGTAAATTACAACCGAAAACTTTATTAATATTAACCGAAAACACACCATTTTTTCTATGTATCTTCATTTGTTCGAATAGTTTCCAATGAATAATCCTCATTAATATATATCTCCAATCCTTTTAGTTTACTGTTCCCAATCCTTTTAGTTTACTATTCCCAATCCTTTTAGTTTACTTTTTAAAGCTTGTACTTTACCTATGTAACAGTTTCATTACTGTTGATCTTGGTGCTTTAGCTGCTCCAATTTTTCCTGACCTGTGTGCTCGTTCAGTTACAATTCCTTTTAAATTAAGTTTTTCTTCAAAAATATTTAAAACCTTTAGTTCGGTGTCCCAATTTTTTTTTTCATTTTTCGATAATCCCAATTTTCTTTTTCATTTTTCGATAATCTCTCTATTCGAAGTTTATTCCTTATTTTTCTATCGTTCAGCTGCCTCAGTTTATTATCTTCCGTATCTCTGCTCTCTGATTTTGATAAGATTTTTCTAATTTGAGATTTTTTTTTTCTTTTTTAAAGTAAGACTTTCTTCTATCACATTTTAAGACTTTCTTCTATCACATTTTAATTTTTGTTTAATCTTTTAACGTAATTTTTTTGTTCCTCTTTAATTAACACGTTTTCGAGGGTCACACACAATTCTTTTACAGTAATAATTTCTTTTAGCAGACCATCAATTCTGTCGTTTGTTAATTTCAGATGTCAGCTTATTAGTTTTAAAATATCATTTTGTTACTTAATAAAAGTTTCTTTGAATAAGCTTTATTGAAATAATTTGTTTATCGCTTGATAATTCATCCATGATGTATTACTTTGTTTTAATTGTGTTTTTTTTTCCGTTAATAATTTTTTTTTAAAGGTATATAGACACTAAAACTTAAAAATACTACGATTTTTTTTTTTAACTATTTTCAAAAACGCGTCTGCTCATGAAGAAAGTATGCGTATTTGTATGTATCATTAGCATTTGGTATGTCAGGTAGAACTCCTAGTAAATTCTTAAAAAATTGATGTTAAAACTGTAACATTTTTTGGAGAAATGAAATCAGTTGCATCAATTTTAAATATCCTTGTAACATATCCTCGTACCGATGTACCAGCAACTGTCTTCGTATGATATGTAATATAAAATAGTTTTTTTTTTGCTGTGTTATGGGATTGCCCAAATAAATTCTAAGAATTAAAGAAAGATAAGGTATACCGGCTAAACGAGAAACTTAAATAGCGTTACTTTTTTTTTTGTACTATTGTAAAAACTTGTTTTAACAGTAGTATAAAAAAAATTAATACTATTATTAAAACTTGTTTTATTGTTGATATAAATAGGCTATTAGTTGTTTTTTTTTTTAAATTTTTATTTCCAATAAGGCAGCAAGCAACCACTATTATAATAGTGTTTGTTAGCTGCCTTGTTGAAAGTAAAGATGTTTTTTTTGTTTAAAAAAAAAAACTCTATAGTTCCAACTCTATAGAGTTGGAATATAAACAAATTTTAACAGTAGTATTTTAAACACATTTTATGTTTTTCTATTCCCATCAAATTTAGAACTGGTTTTAATTCATCGCAGAAAGCGCAAAATGCTATTTAAATAAGACTATCTTACAATGTTGTTTTAATAAGATATTTATAGGTATAAGTATGTAAAGTAGAACAATATAAGATCTCAGTACAAAAACCTCCAACTTTATAGAATTGGAAGTTACTGGAATAGAAAAGATTAAGTTTATAAAGCAAGATAACGGTTAACAGACGACTTGAAAGATATGAATCAGGAAAACAAGATGAAGGGTGTGAATTCCAAAGGACTGATGTTCGAGGATTAAAACTAGATGAATAAGAATTATTAAAACACTTAGAAACAGTTACAGTAAAAGGTTGAGACTTGATTGAATGACGAGTAACGCAATAATGAATTTTAATTAGGGGTGGACCAGATTGGATATTTTGAATTCCGGCTGGAACCGGATTTAGCAGAATATATATATATATATATATATATATATATATATATATATATATATATATATATATATATATATATATATATATATATATATATATATATATAAATATATATATATATATATATATATATATATATATATATATATATAAAAGTGCTGCATTTTTTCAATTTAGAGAAATAACTATATAACTGTTTAGAGACAACGTTCTTCAAGTTTTATTCATCACAAAATTCATTATTTGTACACAAAAATTAATAAATTAATCAAAAGTATTAAAAAAAGTTGATTTCGTTCTGGACAAAACAAGTGCAACTCCACAAAATGCTGACCAAGCTGTATTTCGCTATCAATATTTTGTGGCAAATCCTTTGTTGTCGATCATAGCCTTGCATCTTCAAGACATAGATTCGATCAGGTGATCAATGAAACTTTGTGGAATCGCTGCCCAAGCTTTTTAGATTTGTTCAAACAGTTGATCCTTATAACATACACCTTCACAATTAATTCTGCGGTTGACGATCTCCCACAGGTTCTCAATAGGGTTGAGATCCAGAAATTGAGGCGGCCAATCCATCACTGATAGGTGGTTGTCTTGAAACCACAGCTTGACTACTTTTGCAGTGTGTTTCGGACCGATGTCTTGCTGAAAAACCCATTTTATTGGCATAATCCATTCAGCATAAGGCAACATAACATTTTTCAGGATATTTTTATACATGAAACGGTCCATTATTCCATCGATTCGATGTATTAGATCTAGACCGTTAGCAGAAAAACACCCCCAGACTATTACATTGCCTCCACCATGCTTCACGGTCTTATGGCAGTAACGTAAATTGAGTCGTTTTCCGGCCGGTGGATGTACACGGCAAATACCATCGCTCCCAATGATGCTGAAATTCGAATCATCATTGAACAGGACAATTCGCCATTTCTGCACATTCCAGTCAATATGAGATGTAGCAAACATCTTCATATTGACTGTTCCAATCCAAGACTGTCAGGAGCCATTTTTGCACTTGAAGTCATGAAAATAATAAAAATAAATAATCACGCTTCTCAAGGCTTACCGAATTACATTTATCTTGTGATGATACAGTACTGCACAGTGGAACACAACGTCTTGGTTGGATGTGGATCGTATTGATGTAATAAAACACTTGTTGTATTTCACTTCTTGTATTGATGTTCTTTGATAAAACACTTTGATAAAACTCACTTCGATAAACTGTCTTGATAATACTGACTAATTGACTTCCATATTCTGACTGAATTACATGTCGGTTTACATGTCTCTTATATAGTAAAATGAACCTGTGTGAACCTGTTCTGGAAGATTCTTCTTTTCGATGCTTCTGGAAGCTTCTGGATGCGTCTGGATGCTTCTGAATGTTTTTGGTAACTTCTGGAAGCTTCTGCATGCTTCTGGAAACTTCTGGATACTTCCTTTAACTATTAAAAAACT